ATTTATTCTTTCGAGTAGTGAATGATATGTATGGCCGTTAAACTGGTTTCTTTGCAAACTTTAACTGCTCTTTCTGTTTAACTTGGATTTTGAAGAAGTAATTGGGTTTCGTCAGTTTCAATTGGACAAAGAAGCGAGATGGTGGTTGGTGTTATCCGAATTTATTTATTTGACCTGCTCTGTTTCCGGTTAGATTCCTTCTTCGTCTACCCGTAATCAGAAAAGTAGTAGGAGTTTGGGGTGTGATTAAGTTTCTCATTTTATTTATCCGGGAGAGAAGTGATCTCACTCAGGGCAGTAAGAGTTATAAAACTATTACAAGTGTCAATCTGAAGAATGGGGGCATGTAAAGGAATCAAGGAGATGAGCATTGACCAGGATAATAAAAGCTCATGAAATGCCCCTCCGATTTCATTTCGAACATCATCAGTGTCCAATAAAAGCTGTGATATCGCGTAATTCCAACAGTTACAACTGGTGAAAGTTTAGAGATGTGTGTTCACATTTGGTTGAAGGACAAGAGTGAATCATCATAAGTTTTAATTTAGTACCAGTAGAATTCATGTTTTACTGCCCCCATGAACGGAACTTTTGCATGTAATAATAAAGCGCGTGTCCCTTATGTATAATTTCTTGATTTCCACGCTCATCTCCATTTTGTGAAATCCATATAATATGACGTGTGAACTCGTACTACGTACTAGATTTTTCGAGTCAATATCATCGTCACAGATAGAACTACATAAAATGAGACTGCACGACTGGAGTCTAGTGTGCTGAGCGAGCTATGTAGGTATGCAATGATATACTACCAGTGGTAAACTTATTTTGGTAATAAACAGATGAATAAATAATTGTGTCGAGTGTTTGGAAAGGTAGGCACAGGAGATTAGTGCTAAATAATATAATGCTTCTACAATACGTTTATGATACGGTTTGGAAAACGGTGTTGTTGTGTTAAAAAGAAGTTATGATCGCTGAGTACTGAATAAGTACGGACGAAATCTTGTTATTATATTTTACACTTTTGATTAGGGTTCTGGTTGGATGGTTAAATGAAGAGAAAGTTGTTGGGTTCTATTTATTTATTATCAGGCATTACAGCATACAGAACAAAATATTTGCATTTACCAAAAAATGCGAGCTACTTATTATATGCATATATTCTTATGGTGCATATTTGCAAATTAACATTGGCTAAATTTATATATACGAGTCAGGTGAAGCATGGAGCAGTTTTGCTCTCTTGTGTGTTGATACCCTCTTTTGTCTCATATTATTTGAAGGCTGGTAGAATAGTAGAGTGGTTTTTATGTTGGAAGACGAGATACATGATGCGTTACAAGTTATACAAGCAAGTAATACGGCGTGACATTGCACAATAGGGTTTTAAAATTGTTACTACGACTAATACGCTGTGACAATAATGTAGCATTATTATTACCGAACGAGTAGTATATATTTTGCAATATTACCACAGTTATAATCATTCTTGTGTAAATAGAATTTTTGAATCCACACAATCTCTCATATTTAGTAATTCAAGAATTTAAAATTGGAGCAGAGTATGCACCAAAAATGCGCCTGGTTCTACTAAATAAGTGGTGGTTAAAGGAATTGTAATAAAACGGCGACCCGTTCAAACGGGTTTCATCCTGAAAGAAAACCTTGAAACGCACTTGATTGCAGTCGGTCATCCCTTTCGTCTAGCCCTTGACTTTGTTCAATCACAACGTTTTTCCATTGTTGTCAAAAGCAGATACTTTCCTTCGTCTGGCTGACGACGTTTTGTATTTATTACGCATATAGTAAGTTCAAGGAGGTGACTAGGTGAGCATTTTAGTGAACACCAAAATGCTAGCAAAAATATACACTTTTTTTCCTCGTATTTAAACCATCAAGTCATTTCATGTGAACTCCTCCTAAAAACATGCATCGAAATTCGAGTGAGTCATGCTATACGTACTGCTGAATTGACAAGTTATTATTGGCCACTGTCTGGTGACAAAGAGAAGGTTGTTAAAGTTTGGGTTTTGCTTAAGCACACCACTACTCCAATATGCATTCATAATCTCAGAGTGGCAGTATGCAGTAGACTCAAAAAGGTCGAGGGTCGATATTCGTTTGATTCCTACATACTGCTGAATAATCTGTTTCTTCGAATGCAGATAATGTCGTTGTTCCGTACATGCAAAGTGTTGCAGAGTAAACAGAGGCCAGGCAAGGAAATGATCCAGTTCAATTGTTATATTGGTCTGGCTCCGCATATGGTTGTCACCTTTATGGATGGATAGTGTATGGCATTTGGTTGGTTTAGTTGGACTGGATCTTTGCTTATGGTTCGAACACGTTACTTATAAATAATCTAAAGCATTGACAAGGTAGGCAGTAAGCAGATAATGAAACCACCTTCGTTTTACTATTTGTATAATAGCCGATATTAGGTGAGCCAGAGAGGGGGATTGTTCATAGTTGGGAAAAGTGAGTCAGTTCAGTGAACAACAGAGGAGTTTATATTTGTACAAGTTTGTAGCTGCATTGTGCATAGCACAACAGAAGTATAGCAGTTTATGCAATGATGGAAGAAACGTTCAGTAGCAATGTTACAAGGAAATATCCAATAATAAATGGTGTGTAATATGGATAATGGTAACATAGCGTCAAGTCTGATGAATAGTTCAACTTTTGACGCGAGGGTGGATGGTTATCATTCAGCAGTATTATTTGGCAGTGAGTGCACATGTGGGTCTGCAGGTTTATACTATGATCCTATTACTTACTTGGCCTGTGGCCCTGATTACACACATATATTTACACACGCATTCCGATTATAAGTGCTAACCAGCCAGTCAGTGCGTAACTTTTAGTGTTTGGCTTACCTGCCCAAATTATATTACTGGCACATTTATTGTTACTTTTGTGAATTTGTGGCTCTGGGTCTGTAAAAAAAAGTTGAAATGGGGTTGTTTTGTTCCATTTCATGTCACTTGTAGCAGAAAACGCTTTCCGTTCGGATCCCTTTGTGTTGGCTACGTTCTTCTTATCATCAAGTTTGAGGTTTCATTTAATGGTTTCGCTATTTATTATTTTCCTCATTCACTTTTTACGTTCCGAGTTTCATCATCACAATTTTATTTATTACGTGAAGCAACCAGACAAACTAACCAATAAATTGCAAACCAAGAGGGAGAGAGTTTGCAGATTCAAGAATTTTTCACATGAACGGGAATTTGATACTGCTCGTTGTGCTATGGATTCACTCACATTTTTGTTGGACTTGGGAAACTCGCCTTCTCGACACTGCAACTAAATACATACATTAAAATATGTCCAATAAAACATACTGTTAGTTGGCAGCGGACCCCATCGTATTTCAAATCATTTTAAAATTTGTAACAAATGTTGACGAATAAGTTTAACCTCTGAAAAGTGCAAGCATATTTACATATATTTTTAATAATAGTGATAAGTTTTATGTGAAACCTGTGAGACTGGCAGATTAGTTGTCGAATCTGGCTTTTGTGTATGATTACTCACCCTGTTCCATATTATTGCATGATGATGTTGATTCTGTTCATCGCAAAGGACTCAGTTTGCATAGTTTTATGTGATGATGCACAACATATCTGAATCTACTCCAACCAACCAATAACCCAATAAGTTTGTCCTTGTCCACACCACCAATCATTCATATCAAATATCATTTGTTTGTAATGTTGTTATTTAAAACAAACTAATTAATCCACTTAACCTTAGTTGGAGTGGATGTCTGCCGCTAATAAAAATATAACTCTCGCATCCTGTTGCGCAAAAAGGAGCAAATAAGTGTTGTAATTTGTTCACATCATGAACCAACTCTAAAGAAAATAAAACAAGGAAGGAATTAAGCTCAAGAGAGAAGACAAATACTCGATCAAAGCGATTGCGATGAGCCACATTGATTTGTTCTCCTCATTGCGATTTTCTTCTCTTCTCCCATTTCTGGCATCCTCGAACAAATATCTAGTCTCCAAAGTGAGATAAAAAAGAAATCAAATCTGCTTGGCAAGATTGAACCCTGTGCAAAAATAAATTTCTTCAGGGAATTATTTATCTTGTGGATACGAAGAACGTATGTACATAACTGTGTGTAGTGGTTACTTTGAATCATGGCTTCCTCCACTGGAAAATTCACTGTGCGAGAAATCAAGAAACGTTCAAAGAAAAGCCGTACTCTCCCAGTCAGGTTGAAATTTCTTCCGAAAGGATCTTCGTTTAGTCGTGGCTGCAAAAATCTCACACCTCCGCCGGCTACGAAAGCTACAAATTTGAGCATATTTCGAAATGCCGATGGTGATCCGTGGTGCTTTGATGTTGACGCATATGGAATTTACATGGATGTCTCCAACCCCTCCAGAAGCTTTGGTGGGGAAAGTCAGGCCAGTCGAGAAGACGAGAGACCAAGAAGTGTAATCGGCTACGAAGACTTGCGAGGTCGTTCAAAAAGTTTGACGAGAGCGGATGCAGAGAGAAAGCATCAAGAACTCTTAACGCACCGAAACACTTCGTCGTTAACCTGCGGGAGTTCAAGTGTTCGGAGTCGAAGTAGGAGTCGATCGCGGCTACAAAACATGAATGCAAGTATTGCAAATTTCTCACAATGTTTTGGTTTTGGAACTGGCCCTGTTGAAGACTCAGATTTTGAAGACTACTCAGAATACTATGGGTCAGGTTCTGTAGCTTCGTTTTGTGGGTCGGATGACTTTGGATCTCGGGAATGGGGGAAAGTTAGCAGAAGATTGCCATTTGATGAGGATGATAAATATTACCCTTCAGGTTATACAATTTTCAACATTATGTACATTTATCCTTTTCGTGCATTTAAATTAAATATAAATTAAGTTGTAGTATAAGAAAAAATGTCTCTGTCTGGGAAGATCGGAAGTCAATATTAGCCAGAAAAAAAATTTAGCATTTTACATGATTTATAATTTGCAAAATTCATTAATGTCATTGTGTAGACACAAGTTACGACAAAGCTTGCAGCAGCACTGAACGAGAACGGAGAAGTTCAGCCCCCTTAACACCCTTACTTGGTGGGAGAGAAACTTCTTCGCGATTTGCTGTAAGTCAGACACATAATACGCTGAAAGTTAGAGTCTCGTGAACTCGACCTGGTAGAGGACATCCAATTGTATAAAAAATTCACTTCACTCTATTGATTTCTAATTTCAGAATTTTTTTTCAAAACGATCATTTAAATCAAATCCATTAAAACGTACAAAGAGTGTAACAAAGTTGGAGAGAAAGAAATCTGGTGGTGGACTCGATAATGACAGGTACATTACTACCTTAGCCACGTTGTTTAATTGGCATAAATTTACTTTAATTTACATTTTGGTTTATCTTATTTTTCCAGTGGATTGTTATACCCATCAAGGCTTCGGACTTCAAGAAGCCATGAAAGCCTCTTGGCATGGACAAATCATTCCGTCAGCAATCTCGTAAACAACGGGGTATTTATTTGTAATTCATTAATATCACTCAAGTACAAAACAATTAATTAATAATATAGCACCGTTGCGGTTAACATAAACAATTGACTTATTATGGTGATTGTCATCTCAGTCTCTCACAATGACAATAAGTATTTTTTTCCAGATGATGTCTACAATCGAACTGGCAGGTGGCAATGTGACTATCCGTCCGCTTCACCCATCAGTCCTTGGTCAAGATTTTGCATTTCAAATCAGCGCCCCTGTCGGGTCAAAGTATTATCTGTGTTCATCTGCCGCTGAGCGAGACGCTTGGGTCTTTGCATTGAGACAAGCAATAAAGCCACATGCAGACGAAATCCGTAGGCAGGATAATGGTTTAAAAATTTGGGTTCTGGAGGTATGTACATGTATCATAATTTATATATAATTACTATCTGTTACTCCATAGCGAATTTATTAACAATCCCAGAAAGAATATGAGAATAGTTAATGACATTTTTTTAGGCGAAAGGAATTGTGGGTACTGGGAAAAGTTCCTCCAAAAAGTATTTTTGTGAATTGTACCTGGACGACACGCTATTTGCGAGGACGTGTGCAAAAACAAAGGGTGATATGCTATTTTGGGGAGAACATTTCGAATTCTCTCAACTTCCAAACTGTGTTCAAATGATTACGGTGGTAAGCAAAGAAAATAAATTATTCAATGTATTTGCATAGCCTTGGATTTCGCAAGTAATAATTGTATGCGACGCTGTAGGTTCTCTTCAGAGAAGGTGATAAAAAGAAAAAGAAGGAGCGCAACACATGCCTAGGTAAAAATACATATACGCGTCTTCCTTCATTACTGCTATTATGTGATTGGACATTTGTCTGAAGTATTTACAATTTGTTGACAAATTACAGGACGAGTGAAGATACCCGTTAATTCAGTTAATTCAAGATATTTGATAGAGAAATGGTAATTGATGCAAACTCACCTGTTTTACTTATTATTCACAGATAATTTGAGTTAATACTAATCATTGCTCTTCTTAATAGGTATCCGGTGGTCCCAGATTCATCAAGTAGCAAAGATAAAGAAGTCCCATCGATGAGAGTGAAATGTAAATATCAGTCAGTCGATATTCTTCCTGTCCGGTGCTATAAATCATTTCTTCAGGTTTGCTAAGTTAACTTACCAAAATCTTATTGTATGCAACAAATATTTATAAAGATTGGTCATTTAAAATTTTTTATAGTATATTAAAAACGAGTACGGTCCAGTTAGGTAAGTGTAATTATGCTCTGTATGTATACATTAAAGAGATGTGAACATGTATTCTAACTTTAATCCGTGTGATTTCTTAGTGAAGCGTTGGAGTCTGTGCTGAGTGTGAAGGCTAAAGAAGATTTAGCGAATGCGGTAAATAAAACATGCAGTTGTTTGAAAATAAATTCGAAACTTGTAAGCCAATTTAGAATATTATTAACCAGTTGGTCCACGTGCTCCATCATGAAGGATTGGCGAAGGAGTTCATTGCAGAACTGGTATGTTTAATTTTTATTAATTTACTGTTATCATTTATACTCAACAATCTGAAGGAAATGAGAAACAAGGGAATGAAATATCAGTTTCCTTCACCACCCATAAAATTAGTCAGTCATGTATTATGCTGATATCTCAAACAAACTTATAGTTATGTCTCCGAAACGATTTACAATCTTCCAACCGGTGTTGATTTTTCAAATTTTAACAGGCCTTACAAGAAATTCTCAAAAGCGGAGATGAAAAACTTACATTCCGAGGAAATTCAATCGCAACAAAAGCAATGGAAGCCTTTTTGAAACTTTCTGGAACAGAATATCTCCATTCATCACTGGGGCCTTTTGTATCACATTTCCAAAGGTAAGCAATTTGCAAGAATACCCACAAAGATCAGATATTAAGTCAAATTTATTAGTAAATTCATTGAAAATTCGCAAATACATTCTAAACACAATTTACAATAGTCTTTAAAGAGTATGCTATGGATTAAAATTCAGTTAGTTGAAAGTAAATTTGCATATAAAATAATACCTCAACAGATTTAGAATTCAAAATTGCGGAATACATTAAAAAGAGGAATGCAAAAACCGAAATGGTATACAACCACCCTAATCTTGGATAATTTTTCCGTCCTCCCCAATCTCAACAATTTCATTCAAATGAACCCCATCCCATTTAACATTAACTACTTTCCCTTCCTATGAAATCGATAACGCTGGGAACATGTATTACAAAAGAATATTATAAGTAGTCATCTAATTGATTTAACGTGTTTAACGATCTGTGTTGCAGATCGGAAGACGTTTGTGACTGTGAAGTTGACCCTATGAAATTATCTCCTGGTGCAGATTTGTTGAAAAATCAACGAAACTTAAGAATGGCTGTAGACACGTAAGTCAGCACCCAACAGTGCATCGGATGAAATAATTGAAATAACAAAACTTGCTATAATTTCAGCGTGTGGAAATCTATTCTTCATTCTCATTCAATGTTTCCTGTGTAAGTGATTTTTTCATTTCATAAAAAAAATAGAGCATACAAATCAAAAAGTTAATTGCGATTAATTATTAAATTTCAGTGAATTAAGGGAATGTTTCTCCCACTGTCGAGAAGTATGATTTATATACATGTGTAGCAATAATTAATAATTAGACGGAATACGTGCTAAAGTTATGTTTAATTTTATTCAGGCCTTACGAACTGCAGGGAAAGATGAAATTAGTGATCATCTAATTTCTGCATCTTTATATCTTCGATTTTTATGCCCCGCTGTGTTATCACCTAGTCTTTTCAATATTACGAATGGTAATAATCTCAGAGTTATGATCTGGTGGTACAGGATTATCATTTGTCGAAATTACCTTCAATAAATATTTTTCTATAGAGTATCCCACCGAAAAGTCGGCACGAAATCTTACACTTGTAGCTAAAGTTCTTCAGGTAAGAGTTGTTGTATTCATACAAGGAGGAAATGAAATTAAATGGGCTTATGTATTTTTTCAGACCCTGGCCAATTTTACGAAATTTCAAGGAAAAGAGAGCTATATGGAATTTATTAACGAGTTTTTGGAGAAGGAGGCATCAAGCATGAAGGCATTTTTATCTTGCATTTCTGTACGTTTCGATTCATTTTAATACTAATTTTGACTTCAAATTAGCTAAAATTCACTTTCTAACTTTACAGAGTCCCTTAACTGCGGATATGGCCAAGAAGCCAAAAGTACCCCCTGGTGGTTTCATCGATTTAGGCAAATATTCAAGTATTCTTTCAACTTTGTTGGCAGAAAACGTAGCAAAGATAGCCCCAAAGGTATGATAAAAACTATACAAAAATATGTAATATGTTTTTAATGGTCCCATAATACCCATGTTTGAAATATCTAGAATGATCGATTCAAACCTTTACAAGAAATTTTGGAAACTATCCACTTGTGGTTGAAACAACCCGCAAATGCTACAAACATAGCTTCATTTCCATTTCCACCCCACGTAACCACCCCTGCGCCTACGATCCCTCCTCCCCCCGCACCTTTAGGTGTTCCGATGAGCTATCGAGGGAATAATAATAACACTCCCAGCTCTCTTCACTCACAGGGCGGCTCAAATAATAGTAGTAATCATCAATATCAAGTTCCCGTTGGTCCTTCACCAATTTATGCAGTGTCCAGTGTTCTTCATAATAACGCAAATCCTAACGTAAAAAATATTTCCCAAATGAACAATAGAAACTGGGTCGATAATAATAATGGACACCAGCTCGCACTTCAATTACAAATTCCACAAGCTGCGCAACCCCAGACGGCTGTATTGAGTAACAATCATCGATCTGGTTCACAAGCTTCTTCCGGATATCAAAGTCAGAGCCCAGTTCTGGAAGGGGATGATAAAACCAAGAAAGCAGCAGTTAATGCCAACATAAATACTCAAATTGGTCACCCACAATCCAATAATAGAGATGAAACAGGAAATACAACAGCTTTAACTTTCACCAATCCAACATTTCATAGAAAGGTTGGCTCACACAGCGTTGATAACTTGAGTTCTCTTGGAGTAGATTTCTTAAATCAATCAATAGTTAAACGGAGGTAATTCATGCGATAGCCAATTCACGTTTTACATTTATCCTTCAATGATAAAAACTTTAAAAAATATATTTTTTCTTACTTTAAATTAGACTGGCTAGATCGTCCAGTTCGTCAGATTGCGAACCTGAGCAAATGCCGATGCCAATGAAACCAAAACTACGTTCTGGAGTTGCAAGTGATGTTTTATATGGAAATCTTCAACCAAGTTCCAGCAGCAGTCATTCTAAGCAGCCCATCAAATCCAATCATAATCGGCTACACAGGAGGTCATCCGCAGAACTTTTAAGGAAAAATCACCCTTACAGCTCGTCCACTGATGATGAAGAGTATGATGCCCCTATAAATCAACAGCGGCAGGAAATCACTCCTCAACTTCCACCAAGAAGAGGTCAGCTGAAGCGAAATTCTGCACTGAGGCCAACTCCGATTGTCGATGGAAGTTTTAATGAAACATTGCAGGAAGACATGAGAAAGTCTTTCCAAGAAGGTGTTCCTGGGATAAACTGCTCTGAGGTATGATAAACCACAGTACAAATACATAATTAAATTATGGCCATCTTTATATATAATTCTCATCATTTTAGTACGAACGTGAAATGGTTGACTTGAGACGTGCTATGGAAGTGTTACAAGTGAAATTAAGCAGAGCCGAGGAGCGTTTGTTTGGTTCAGAAGGAAATGGCCAATCTCAGCAGCCGCAGCAGCAGCAGCAACAACAACAGCGTGATGGAGATCGATTCTTTTCTTCAAGTTTTGTACAATCACCAGGAGTGAATAATGTGAGAATGGAGGAGGACAAGTCTAGAGATATGGATCATTTGCTACAGAGGCTGCTCAGTGCAGAAGAAGAGATGAGACGAGAACAAGAACTTTTGGTAGCTTTGGATAAGAAACAACAATTGATTGATGCACAAGAAGAAAAGGTGATAATCGTTAAATGTGGTACTTGTACATGGATAAGATACCAAATTATTAACGTTGAGTGTGTTGCTTTAGATTGCTCGGCTGGATTCTGTAAACAATCAGCTCTTGGATGCGTTAGCACAGATCAGGGACACGTTACAACAGCAACATGTTCAACAACAACAGCAAAAGATTCAACAACAACTTGTATACCACCAACAACACCTTCAAAATTTATCAAACTCCATGATTCCTGCGGCAAATGGTTATCCCAGAAATAGTACAAATCGTAAGAATTCGTCCTATGATAGAACGAATTTCAACCCTCATGGTCGACAAACCACCACCAGAGATTCAGAATCACATTCCATGTACAGAAGCAACAGTATTAATAATATCAATAATAACACTACAAAAGTACTTATCACAAATGGGAACAATAATGACAGCAGCATGCAGCAAACACCTCATCAGTCTAATAATTGTGACATTGATAACCGAAATGACTCCAATCGCAATTCGGCGACTTACCTTGGAGAGCAAGCGTTGCAAATGTTGGCAGAGTTGAAGAGCAGTTCTTGTTAGATATTTCACTGCCTCGAACCCATGATTATACATTTGTATATGTAGCGTATACCCTTCAGACATCGCATTTTTTGTTTTTTACTTATTTTGTCTCACGCAGATACCTTTAATACTACCAAAATGGGATCAATATAAATACCACGCAATTGACTATGTTGTTGCATATTATTTAATTCCAATTTTACCTAATGAACTCCTTATTAACTTTTTGAGAGTTTTGTAGATCTACTTATTACTAAAATGTACAATTTTGTGTATAAGACTTAGTAATAGATTCTCCGTATTTTAGTTGAAACTTACTTAATCAAGTAGACAGTATTAATCTTCAAAGTACAGAATATGAATTATGAGAATTTTTATATTATATGAAAATTCCAGCAGACCCCGTTAAAGTATGAAGTATCAAAACAGCCACCACTTGTTGCATTGATATTTATTATCAACTTTCTAAAAAATATGATACCTTTCGAACAATAAAATTGGTTTATCAATCGAATTTTTTAAATAATTTATTTTAATGATATAACTTTTCAAGTCGTCAACATTATTTTTGCAGACTTTTAACTTTCTGCGATTGTCCAAGCACAGTAATCGTATATGTATACGCATTTATTCCAAGCATTATACTTTTCAGTACCATTAGTTTCAGCTCAGCTCAGCGGGTAATTTTCCAAGCAAAAACGACTTTCCGAAAGGGTAGACTTAAAACACATCCGGTATCAGTGTGCACAGTTAGCGTGTCTCGCATCTCGTCCATTTCTTTCACCGATACAACCGCAACTTGTCCACTGGGTAAAATCACCTGGGTTTATTCCAATAAGATTTAAAGGAAGTTTATCATTGTGTTCATTCATAATTATGAAAATGGTATATGATGGGAGCAGACTGGGATCAAACGTACCTTGGCAATTCGAGAACACCTCATGTCACTTAATTTTCTCGGGAGGAAAGGGCTGCCCATCGTGACATCGCGAAGGTCACCACAATCTCCGTCGTCTATTTGGTTACAATAGAATTGATAGTTCCATCAACTGGATACATATAAATGTAGCGTTAAATGGGTTGGCATATATGTATATGTACTAACCCATTAAAATAGGTTGCGAGTGTGAACGTCCTGAGGAGTAGTATCCAAACGAAGCCCTGCTTCGTCCCCCAAAACCCGTGGATCTAGTTGTAAAATCTGCTCCTGGACTTGGAAGATCATCAGTTAAAAGCAAATCAATGCTAGACCTAAAAGTGTAGAAAGTATATGTTTTTAAAGTTTGTGTGCATATAATAAACGTTAGTTTAGATGTTTGATTATTTGAAGGCAGACATAATAATCTCAACCTCAAGCATCTCTCAGACTCGTCAATCAATGAGGAAGTCTCGTCGTCGCTGGAGGACTTTTTGCGGCATCCACCAGAGAATTTGTTCTGTTTCATGGATTTGAAACTTTGCCTGGGTCCTTTATGGCCAGATTGAGAAGAACTAATATCTGGGAGACTGGAGCGGAAGCTTACTGAGTGGCCTGAAGTCAGTGGTGGTGGTTGCTGTTGTCTTCTTGATATCGAGGAACTTATGTGGTACGAAGAATAGGATTCTGAAAGGATGAATTGAAAATTGAAACAAAATTAAATTCAACATGGGCTTGAAAGGATTCGAGTGAAATTGAATCTACATAAAGGATCCTGAATAGATTCTAACTGCAGGGAAATTTGTGCATGAGAGTGGATGGTATAAAATCACATAATTAAATTAACCACGAGGTAAATGGCAAAGGTCTTTCACTTTCACCGCCGGGGGAAGTGGTGCGGTGCTTGCATTTGCTGAAAGTTGTGTCTGTTTCAACACACAAAGGGGAAAGTTGTCAACGTTTATTGAGAGGCATCAAGTCGATGTCTTCTCCTAAGTGGTGCGGTGTGGTGAGAAGTAACCCAGCTCTCATTCATGTAAATGGTGATAAATGTCATAAGGAAGTTGATTATAATCTACATACGTAGGTTATAATCTGTAACTACCAACCGGGCCACCTAGCGCTATATATGTATTATTATGGAAAACTGTGCGGATATGTGATTGAGTTATCTGTAAAGTTAAGGTTCTACATAAAAGATAAAAGGAGGAATACTTAAGCTCTAACCCTTGAAGTTGGAGGACGTCGATGAAGACATTCTGTCTCGATTCCGTGCAGACTCTGAGGTCGAGGGCAGGCCAGCTGCAGTCAATGCCAATGTGGAATCAGAGGATTGATTTAGATTCCTCGACAGATTTCTTGTCCTGTACAATGTGCTGGGCTTCAGAAACTGGGAGCTAGAGCTCAACGTGTCCTGGAAGAATACAATCAAAGAAACACTGACAAAATTGTGGAGAAAGCTGACTGATTAAGTAAAAAGATATTTATAATTTTGGAGGAAATAAAAGCTGCATTGGATTGATAGCAAATACATAAATGAATGAGCAGCCATTGATTTCTGATAGCGTTAACCTATTTGTTCCTACTGGGCACACAAACAACCACTGCAAAGTTAGAGATTGAGATTGTGGGGAACGAAATACGCTGCTTTCACTTGTCAAATCTGAATAATTGTGAAATTAGCGACAAGGACAGACATTAGGCCTTGTACGGATTTCGCATGAATGCTGTGTAGAACATTTGCTGAATAGAGTAAAGGAGGTTACAGCTTTTTATTCTAAGGCTCCCATTGTATTTATATGTCAAGTGAAATGAGGAGAAAGTTGTGCTGTTCTGGCCGAGGTATGAAATAAATGGCTTGCATGTATTTTTACTCCCCACAATCTACGTATGTATGTACATATTACATTGAATAAATTGACGTAGGTTCGGATGGGGTTAGTTGGAGTGATGGGAAAAGATTGACAAGCATAATATCCAAACTGCTTATTTGATAACGGACATTGATCATGCAAGGACACATACAAAAAAATATACGGTATATGCATATGCTCTCTGAAGAAAACGTTGTTGGACAACCAAGGAACCAATCAATTTACCCAAAATGTTGAATGAATGGTATGAAAGCATGCAGCAAGGGAGCCGTAGCAAATAATGAGGTTTTTGAAAGACAATTTAATAACAAGTAATATCCGAGGAGTCGACTTGGCCAATCAACCTACCTGACTCGTAAACTTGGCCACTCTTGGTGAGTATTGATCTTGGTAATTCATCGGCTCGTATCCACTAAATCCACTGGTTCTAATTTTTGTCTTGGATGGGAGCAGTGTTAGCTCACTTTTCCAGTTAAGACGACGCTTCCCCGTGGGTCCTAGGCCTAGGCCACTGCTTTTTGTGGATGATTTCCCAACAGGCCGTCGTTGTTTTAATTCAAACGGATTGGAGCTGGAGGTCGTCTCTAATGCAGTTATTTCAGTTTGTGCTCCACAACTAACTTTCCTACCGGATTTCTGCTGATCTGACTGTCCCATATAATCTCGTCGACCACTACTTAACCCCTCTTTGCCATCATCATCACCTCCTCCCAGGGAGGAAGACGCTAAAAGGACTCGCCGACGCAATTTAGATCTTGACGAGACAGATCCCGAAATCTCACTGTTTTCATCATCAGTTCCAAACTTTTGGAAATCACTTTCTTGGTCGGATCTCCGCTCATCATCATCATCAAACACATCTGTGTCATAGTCGAGCAGAGGTCTTTTAAGCTCAGTAACCCTCACAAGTTGAGGTGACAAATCAGCAGATGGGAAATCTTGAACTGTTTCTGGCATTAAAATTAGCTCAATGTCATCAACGACTGCTTCCGAAGAAAGGGTGTCATCCTCATACGATTGATCCAGATCGTCATCCTGGTCACCACCACCACATTGTTCCTCCATCTCCTCGTCTCTTTCAAAACTGGCGGATATTGACTTTTTGCCATCATGGGCTGTGGGAGTGGTGGCTGCGGAATTGGTTTCCTTCTGAATGTCCTCTTCAACCCCACTTTCCATACCATAATTGACTAGAGTGGTAGTGGTTTTAGTAGTGGTGTTGGTACTGGAGGTGATATGATGAAACTCGAGCGAGGAAGATGGATCTCCTCCTTCGCCGTCTTTGGCATCTGCTGCTGATTTTGTTTGATTCCGAGTTGAAGCTGGAATCTCAATCACATTGGACAAAGATATGGCTTCAATTTGAGTTAGGAGGCTGGAAGCACCACTTTCACTCGAATGAGTGCTTTCCAAACTTGCTGCTCCTTCCACTTGGTTATTGACATTTTCAACAGGGAGAAAGTTTTTCAAGAGAAAATCGCCAGTTTCTTCTTGTTCATTGGCCATTTGTGGTGAGGTCCTCGTTGCCAAAGTCGCCACATGCAAGTATATACATAAGCCTGTCTATGCCTACGATACTGTACGCTTTCTCCCAACAAGCGTAGGAAGACTTGCTTACAAAAATCTTAAAAACTTGGAGGTCGTTTTATTATGTTATGTATGATGACAGTCGGCGCATGTGGATGTGGGTGAGACTCAGCAGCATCAAAGCGATGTATCCAAGCAGAAATGATTCTTTTGGCACTATTGTATTAGATTACACAATAAATGAGTAAGCTAATTCGATGGCGAAAGTAACGCACATGTTGAGTTTGCTGCTGACTGACGACTCGACCAAGATCAAAGGAATCAACTGCCTATTTATTTAAGCTCATTATCTTGTGCTCACTCCCTCCGTCCTGTTATTCCTGAATTGAATTAACAAAGTTTTAACCGGAAAATAGGAACTCGTGTTGACTTCTACAGAAGACAGATTCATGTCTCCACTACTGTGCACGCTAACCTAGAGATCGATATTTTGAAGAGAAGTCAGAATATGTTGTACATCCAACCAAGGTCTTCTTTCCATCTAACTAATATCAAAAGCGCGTTTATTCCATCCCAAATGTCGAGCACGTAGCAATGGAATGACGACTCTTGCCTTTTCTCAAAAACAGCACCACAAAGGTGGAATGATGGCAATAACTTCTCCCCAGAGTTCCTATTAGTTGTTCCAACAAAGACACAACGTTTCTTTGCAATGGTTCCTTTTCCTTGGCTGACTGAGTTGCAGGATGAGTTGGGACGCAGAGATTTTCGTGTGTGTGATGTGATGATGTCTTTGATATTTTTCTTATTGTCGCCTTCGACGCCACTAATAATAGGTCACGTTGTAAATCACGACTACCTTGATATTGAGGAGCAAGAATCTATTGTACGGCGGAGCTCGTGCATTATTGACGGCCTCAGATTGCTGTTTTCTAGAGAGAGAGAGAGGGAGAAGAGACGCAGCAAAGCCTATCTAATCCTGAACACCGAATTTCTTCAACTTTCACCCACCACCACAACCACCACTTCACTCGCTGTTGGTATTTACAGGCCTCTTACTCTCCTTCTCTCCTGGCAGACACCAACGCTTGGCAAGCTCTTTAACCATGTAATACTTTCACCCATTATCGGCTGGGAATTGGCAGCCGTATCAAATTCCTCAGGTTGTTGCTCACTAACGAGTATGCTCTTACAACTTATTTATTATGCATAAAGTGGGACCTCCCTTAAATTTAGTCAATATTTTTCTTGAATTGGTAATAAATATAATGTTTTTTTTCTTATGTGGTTGGTGAATAGATTTGTTACTGATAAATTAATTATTTGTGTATAGGTCCTAGGAATCCAGTCTACATCGACGTACCCTGGATTTGATATCTCGGTATTGCTGGATAAGAGTGAGTAGGGGAGAAGAATTAGCAATTTCACTGTGTCGGGGTCCGTGTAAGATCACAATTGTGAGTAATAATCTCTTGAACGCTGAGGACTGCTGTGGCCAGGGATTTTACCAAGAAAGTGACTGGTCTGTTCCACTGTTATGCTTTCACTGAGCTCAGTCGCTATGAAACAGTTCCCTGGGAGAGAGAAAGATCCGACGGTGGTGGCCCCCGGGTAGTAAAGAAGGAGAGCTGAATACGAGGACTCACGGTGGCTAGGTTGCTAGTAAGGCTTGTACCTACGAGGCTTGTCTCTGCTGTTAATGTATTATTAGTGCAGAAAAAAGAAGCTCACTCGCAGGCCGGAACTGACATGCGTTTTCCACTTCTTTCCCAGTCCACCACGATTCTCCGTCTCTCCAGTTTTTGGGGATGAGACAAAAGGTTTTAATTTGGCCTGAAGGAGATACTTTTATTCCTCGACACCTCACCAAGCACATATGACACGGGTACTTTCTTGCATTTCCCCTGGTTGTCCACTTTGTTTTATCATTATTAGGTGCATTCTTTCTCTACTACTCGGTTGGGGGAGGAAATGTGTGCTTCATTATGACATTCTCATCACTACGAAGTAAATTACCCTTGGCACATGCAGGAGATAATTGACTGATGATGAGCTGGTTGGTTCGATTAACGGTGCGTGTACCGTCGTAAAAATGGTTGGATTACATGCCCAATCCAATTAATTTTGTTGCATATCTACTGAACGGGTTCATACACAAGCCGGGTTTTGTATGGATTATGTAATGGGTCAGCCAGCAAAGTGACATTCGATCTGACCGAAACTGTAGTGTAACGAGATCTGGTGCTTGACCCAAGCCGTTAAAATGTGAGATACATATGTCATTCTCCTTTAGGAAATGCAGCATAAGTTCATACTTGTCTATCACTAATTAGCGTTACGTATGTCTTTATGCATTGTATTTATAATCTGGCGTTAGTCAATAGGGTGTCACAACGTACATAAATTATTAATGTAGCTTGTCGTAAATTCATTGTGCAACATCAAACGTTGTTTTAGCAAAGTTTTGTTCAATGCTCAATCCAAAAACAGAATCAGGCAATCTTTATTGAAAATCGATATGTGAGGAAATTTGAATTCTTAGTTCATCGTGTTTTTCTGCTTGTATTTGTTTTCGAGAAAGTGGGGAAAGCAGTTGAGGCTCTTGTTTTCGGGGAAAGTGGCACAACTCTGCTCTGCCGGCAACTCCGCCTCAAATTCTCTTCGCTAGTCTATAGTAGTTACACTTCCACAGCCAATTCATAGTTTAAGTTGAATTGGTGGTGACAAGTTTATCTATGCAGATTGATCGCGCAAGTCTGGAGGAGCACCCCTGACCCCTGACATGAGGAAGATTGTCCGATTTGGTGTATTTAGGACACAAGGAAAAATATTTAAACTGTAAGATACCATTTTGCATTATAAATTTGCTAATGTTTGTGGTCTCCTGAGATTAGTGAGATGTATCATACTTATAACTTTTTGCAGTTGAATTTATCAGTTAACTATCAAATGTTTATGGTTACAACAAAGACGTAAAGGACGAGAACCTAGGATGAGAGGAATCCTCTCAGAGGATTATATTCACAAAATTGATAGAAGTAAGCAATATTTATTTATTTATATAATGTTGGTGAAATTTTCGCAAAGTATCCTTTGAATTGGAAAGTTGAGTCATTTTTTGCAGGCCTACTTGAAGATTAAAGGGTGTGTAAAAATTCAATAAGACGGCATAATAATGGCACCAGCCGCTAGTAAGTTGGCCACATTGCCCTTCAAGTAAGTCTTTTCATGATCAAATTCTCCACTATATATGATATTTTACAGCATTGATTGATGATTTGACACTTATTACAGTTGTTACGAGATAGGTATGTGTTTATGCATTTTATCTAGTTATAGTAATAATAATTTGTTATTAATAAAGTAGTTTCTTTTAATTCTAACTCTGAACGCTAACTCCTAAATCGCTGGAGATAATCAAAATCTGATAAGTGCATTTGGTTCCTATAGGTCATACTTGGGAACCCAATTGTAACATTGCTGCAATTCAACTTGCTGGGTCAGTGTCGAAAGAGGTAAGAGATAATAAAAGATTTGTAAGTATTGTATTATAGCAAATGCATGTCAAATGCATGGCTGTGAAGAGTTAAGTAAGACTTGGGGTTAAACTGTTTATTACTCTAAATTTAACTGTTCTATTTTATTTCATATTCTTCCCTGGATGAAGGGCTTTAAAATGTACACTGCTTGTTACGTGGTAAATTGTATTCCACAATGAATTTCAACAGTCAATGTTTGCTCATAAATTTAACTAAAATTACATTTATTTACTTGTTTTAGATTTCACTTATTGCTAGTCGCCGAATTCCAAAGTCAACGACGGATATTGTTAAACTAGTCAAAGATATTTTACGGTCTACCTTATTTCTTCAAACTCACGGACTGGGATATGTTGTTTTCTTGTGTCGACTACGGAGAATGTTAGGCAAATCAAATTTTTATACGTTATCCTATCTTCCCACATTTCTTGCTAGCTACGTGAGCATTATGATCGAGAAACCACAACGACGACCACTTTTGGCGCTATATGTCACAAATGTCGCTACTGAAACAATATACAGAATGTTGCGATCCCGGTATGATGTGTGAACATTACATTTGGCATACCAAAATATTTATAACAAAGTGTGTACATTATCTTATCGTATTTAGGGGAATGGTCCGTGATATCAAACATTTTGATTTTTTCCTATTTTGTACTTCAATGGTCACCGTTATTTACAATATGAAGAAGGGAAATCGTCGAGGTGACATGGTTGACACAATACTTATTAAAATATTTGGTCCTGAAGAGTTCACCAAAAAAAGAGAAGAGGGAGATATTCTTCACCTGCACGAGAGGCAAGTTTTGCGTTCTTCAGCCGAATTACCACGTCGAGTCAGCCTAGGTGGTCCAGGTCTTCGTGTCGTCGTTGGCCCTGAAGCCGAAAATGCTAATGTTCGAAGACGAGCAAATGAGGACACTTACCGTAATCGCTTTGTAAATTTTGTTCTTTGGATGCATAAGTCTGTGGAAGACATTGCGAGTCATCTAGAAAGGTAACGTCATCTTTACTCAGGATAAATAATATAATATCATATTCACGGGATTAATCTTTTATTTTATTATTGCAGAATGGTTACAGCAATATATGAAAGTCAGATACACGAAATGTGTCCTCACAACCAATCTTGCTTCGATTATTGGATGGAGGTATAATATTGAGTTATTTTGATCAACAAGATGTGGTTCATATTTGCATAAATTATATTATGTGATAACTGTTATTCTGATCTTTGTATGTTCAATTCAAGGGATTTTATTCAAGATTCTTGGTTGGTTGTGGAATTCATGGACTTTATCAAACTGCCATGCTAGCAAAAAATCTACTGTCACCAAGTAGAAAGATGCCAATTGATAAAACAGGGGGGTTGTTGTCAAATTCAGTGTTATATCCTTGCATTCGAAGTGGGATGGGTTTGGGAATGATGAACTTAGCTTTCCGATTGATTAACTGCTCGTTTCGGTGGTAGGTTTTTGTCAGCGTTCGTTGTTCAAGGTATATCAATGAACTCAGCTCTGTTTTTAAGGCTAAAAGGAATGGACGGTCCAGGCCATGCAGCAGTATCGGGGTTTATTTCTTCTGCTCTAGGATTTTTACTGTTAAAGCCACCAAACTCGTTGGGATTGTACTTATTCTTTAAAGCTGCCGAGAGTGTAATCAGCGAATCCCACAAGTATGATGCAATTTTATGAAAATCATAATGGTTTGCTCTAATTTCAAAATGATTTACTCGACAGGAAGAATAATTATGTTCTGCTCAATCTCGTGGACAAGGTTTACGGCGGTGGGTGGTGTCTTCTTTACTCCCTATCAACCGCATTATTGTTTACAGTTGCCATATTCGAGCCACATAACCTGAAACCTTCATACTACCACTTCTTGTCGAAAGCCACTGGCGGAAAACTGTTTGAAATCAATCGGACTGCTATAGATATATATGGCACAAATAGTTCCGTTTTTATGAAGGATTTCTGGCCAAAATTATCAGATAAATATGTATCTGATCACATGAAGCAACTGATAAAAATGAGGGAGTCGGTAAATAATGACAATGAAGCCACCAAAGAGCTGCTCCAAAAATTTATAAATGTAAATTAACTTTGATGCACTTAACCGTGTACTTATATATGTATATAAATAATCTGCCGAGTCATTTGTTAATTTATACCAGTGTAAAATATTACTAGTCCAGTCCATCCTCATTGTTTTACAGAATGGTGATAATTCCGAATATTTTTAATCTTGTATGTTGTATGTCCCCCATATACAACATATATACATACAACATATATGTATTTAATCTTGTATGCACAAGGTGGAACAAATAAATTGTCGTTCCGTAGTCTGCTTTACACAGATATTTACTTGCGTCGACCTACGACACGGCATAAATCCTGATTTTCAAAGTAGTATGAAATGCTAGTTTTTCAATAAAATCTAAACTATAAAGTCTATCGTTTTGAAGTATATGTATATATATAATAAATAAGTACATGCACAATTTAGTTGAATATATACAAGTCAAAGTCTATATTACGGCTACTAAAGCCAACTACATACATATGTATACAAAGGATACTCGGACATAAAAATTGTTCACGACCTTGACGCTGTTTGCTTATGAATGAAAACAGGCATGCGAAATGCTTGGCTACGTATCGAAAATACATATATTTTGTTGGCATCAAGACAGAAATTGTTGTCTGTCTCAATATGATTTAAATTGTTGCAAGCAATGCAGAATTCAAATGGAGGTTTTCCATTTCGTTGTCAGCAACTGACTTGACACCCATCACGTCAGTCAATGTCATCATGATGTTGGACCAAAAGGGAGTCCGCTGTCCTGCACCGATAGATCAGAGGGAACCCACATTTTTCTCTGCGCATTATCCCGGACGAGGACGTAAAGGTTACAAAACGGAGAAAGACTCGCTAAGAGAAAGATCCGCAACTCTTTGTTTCAAAAGAATAATGTTCTTCACGAAACAGAAAACCACGCGATCTGTTCATAGAATCCAAGTTTCAGCAGTGGTACAATTATTAACAACTATAAAGATTTAGTCATCATATTCATAAGTATCATGCTGCTTTAGCGTGTCTTTCAAATGTCAAATACATGCAATAAATTTATCTACTTAAGGTCATGAAGGCCTAACATAACTTGTTAAAAATTATGGAATACTCCACTTGAGTTTTTATTTTATTCGAGGTTGTTTAATATCAAAATCTCTCACAATCGCTGCGTAAAACGCTGAATGAAATGGATATATGAACGTACTTATCCTTAGTACAGCATGACATGACAGACAGCATTTCACTCATTTACTTTGTAAGTAAGGTAGGCGAGAGTAACTTTTCATACAAATGTGCAGCAGCTATTACTTTGAAGAAGAGATGTAAAAATTTAATTGAGACCAAGACAGGCCGACGGAGAGAAAGTTGGGGATGTAGTCCGCCGGGGCAAAATACTATCCAACGAGTATGAAGTGTGCCTACTGCACACGGTCTATTTTAGGATGGAAAAGTAGCAGTATTGGTTGGTTCCATTCAGCGTCTGCTATCAACTGGGTCATCTCGTCAAGCTAGGAAATTACAAAGGGATGAGAGGAAGCGGAGAAAGTGCGTCTTGCTTCTGCCCATTATGCAACAACAAATTGTGGATAATGAGTTGCCCCAGCTTGGGACCTTGCTGTTGGGAGGACACTGCTTATTATTCGCAAATGGCAAGTAGAACACGCAATTTTGGATGTTGCTACAAATTGTGTGTATGACATAGTACGAGTCACGAGACATTATTATCAGGGCCCCTTCCACGCTATTAATTCCCAAGTTTCCTGTTCTGAAATGTCTTCGTATTTTAGGTGACAAAGGTCTCCTTCATGACTTTCGTGCATAATAACTGGCAACTTGTTCGTGCAATTTAAAATTGGATACGATAAAACATAAGATACGATTGTATACATGTCACAGAGTTTCCTAAATCTACAGAGTTTTTGATACAAGCATTTCGACTAAACAATTTCTATAATGGTCACAGCAAGTTGGTAATAATTCTTGCTTCAACATTGCATGTTGTAAGCCACTTTTAATTACAAACTTGTATTGAGGTCCTCCATTTTCACCTTTATTTGAAACTGGACGCTAGTCACAAGCATTAGTGTGGCAACCGCTCAAAGCAGAATTATATCAGGAGATTATTTCAACTCCAGGATATAGATACATAATGCTAAATAGGCGTCATTCATGTTTGGGTGTTATATTTTGTTTTGCCAGCGGTGCAGAGTTTCTGAAATCTATAAAGATAAATATGTTGCATGTACAACAGCAAATACATTTTCATGCCCCTTTATCTCAACTGCTTATGGAAGAGATCATCCTGAACAAGTGTTTTTGCTACTCACACTTTAACGTATACAGAGACTAGTAGCTCAGTTTTGTAGTACCACAAAGTGTGACACTGGGATTGTATGTACAAGGCTAATTTGTCCACAAGTTTGACTTTGGCCATGTTGTGCCAGGTTTGAGCAATCATCATTATAATAACCATTATGATATCGAGTCTCTTTCCATCATCCACGCCAAGACCGCACCACGACAAAAACAGGATGGGTTGGTGAGATGAAAGGAATCTCACCCACCCAACCCATGTGGGAACAATGCTCTGATGAGCATTTTCTCCCAGTTACGGTCGTGTTCCCCCTCCCTCTCGCCGTATTGTCATTGTCAACGCTCTCACTTTTAATGGCACCCATTAGCTAAAGTGCCGTGTTCGGGTAGCACTGTTAGATCAAAGAGCGGACAAGTCAAAATAAAGCATGATATTTTGGTGGTGATTGGCCCATTTCGCAATTCACAATCCGATTTCATAAGAATGTGAATCCATACGCAGCCAAGGTCTGGGTCGACTTGGCTTTCTCTCTTGTGAGCTTGTGGTGAAGGGCTCCATCGAGTCAGTCGCTGGAGGAGAGCAGCATAAAATAAATTCCAAATTGCTAGTATCACGACATTATGAAAATTGCTGATATGGCCACATTGTGGACGATAGGTCATAATGGCTGGTGTGGGCAATATTGGTGGTTCTGTGCCAATATTCCTTGCTCCCTGCAGGGTAAATCTTTTGGTTAGTAGATTCACTTTGTAATGATGGTGCATCGTTATCTAGAAATGGGTATGCGTCATCGAAGGTCAGCATAACATTCACCTCGCAATTTTCAAACGATGGAGAAAATTCTTGTAGGATTATACACTTTGAGATGTAAGTTATGAAGGGGATAATTTGTACACGGGAGGTGCATATGCGGATCATTGTACATGGACATAGCAGGAATTTGAAATTTCTACTGTGAAATAATTTAGATAAGCCTACTCGAAAGATGCCTGACTATAATAAATAAGTATTCTACTACAGCAGTGGCAAGGGGATTATTAGAACAGCGGCGTAATAGCCGCTTACCTAACGTTGGTCATGCTCTGCTCCAGTGAATTTTGTTATGCATAAAGATTTCTAACTTTATTGCATGTGACGTAATATGTAGAATCAAGCCTGCTCAAGTCGTTCTGTCTTCAACTGCATTGACTTAAAGAGAATGCTGAAGTAGATAAATGTATAAACAAAGCATGATGGTTTCTAGCAATATTATGGTTAAAAAACTGAATTTGTGCTTATCATGCTTTGTATTTTGTGCAACCAGTGCATATTTTAAAGCAAAATGTGAAATAACTGCAATCTGTTTGAAAATAGTAAACACGCGTCTGACTAATTTTCTTATTTTACGGTAACATAATATGCAATCTGTCAGAATCAGCTTGATTGATGGTTAGACCGTAGTAAGAGCAAAAGTACATGCTCTTGCATTCACCCCATGAAATCTGAAATCTTGCAACTGAAATACGGAATGTTATGCTGGTTCTCCTACAGTTTTGCATAAAGGGCACGATCGTCGAAAGATTAAAAATTTGGTAAAATGGAATCATTGATCTAGTCGAATAATAATAGTCTATACATACGTATAAGAAATGAGTATGGCGACTAAATGGCTTATATGAACATATGTATATTCTTATGAAGAGAGGAAATTACAGACGCAATTTAGCAGCCTAGTTAAGATATTAGTAATTAAGGGGAACTTCTAAATCATATTTATATCCCTATGTCAAAGTTATATGCCCATTGTCACGACTGTATAAAAATTATGGTCGCTTTTTACTCACAATTGCGATTGGTGAGAAAGCATAAGGAAAGTACTCGTTCTGGTGTATTGTATTCTTGTGTTGGAACGTCCACTCTCTTTATTTTGTATTTGCATTGTGCGACTACAAACTTTTGTTCGATGGGCGCAACAGCTACATAAAAAAGAAGGAAACTTTATGAAATATGTGGTTCCATCCCTTCTTGCACTGCAAAAGAGTGTCAAGCCTACTCGGAAGAAAGCTTGGACTGAAATGAAACCCGTTGAGGTCTTGCAGTTTAGTCCATGGATGCGAAATGAATTCCTTGGAGGTGTTGTAGTTGTAGTCTGAAAGGGTAATAAATCATTAAAGTGGGAGGAAAGTTGTGCATAACCTTTGCCAACCATGCTGTACCACGACCCTTGAGAACGTTCTTGACCGGACTACCCTGAGCATTCTCAATGACTCGGTTACATTATGCCATTTTTCTAGAGTGACACTCCAAGTATTTACTTTGTCTCACAAAAATGCGCAACAACAATGCAGGAAAAAATATAACAAATACTCAATAATTTAGGTATCTGAAACCGTGACTCATATTTCTAATAGCAGCGCTTTGTACAGTGGCATAGCAAGAAAAACTGCTGATCTTGAATTGATTCGCTTCACTCTATATTATACAAACTCCTCATACGCACGTTTCCAGCATGTTGAGTAACTTAATAAAAGTGCTGTTAAGTAGACATGGAGTAATTATCTAATTAAAGTTCTGAGGAGTCGGTAGGGCTCAAGCTCTGCTGCTCTGTCTCTCGCTCCTATACTCCACAACTGGACATCCAACAAATTAATGCTGATGCCAACTTTATGAAGACGAAACGTGCAGATGAATTTTTTCACATGAAGCATGCACATAATAATTAGTTGAAATATCACAGTAGCTAGTGGAAAATTAGCCAAAAGTCTCGACTGGAACGACGCATACCTATCTTGCACTCTCTCAATTTACAGCACAAAGTGTCTTTGCATCAAGAATTAATCAGCTTGGGGTGGAATGAACACTGATACATAAATAATTCTCTGAATTTGCTCAGCATCCAGGCTCACTCACCTACCGAATTGGTTAATGATGTTGAGCATACTAACCTCTTAATTAATTTGTACTGGATTTTGAACAACTCAACTTTTGCACATCTGGATACTGTTACTGTAAAACTATACATTAATGCATCTACATATGCAAAGTCAACAAAGTATGAGTCATTCTAACTTGCTTCATCAGTTCGGCTATGCGCTGATTAAATGGTTTCTATCAACTGAAAATCCGTATTTCGTGTATTCTTAAGTTAAATGTCAGGTTTAAAGCCAAAAAGCTTTGTACCAGTGCAAAGGGTGGAACTTTTTGACTTGGTGTCGTGCTGAAAGTTTCTGCATGCCACCAACTATTACTCCCAGCCCAATAAGAACGAGTAAGCAGCAGCAACGTCTATAACTCATTATGTTAATTGTTAATTCAGTGTGGCCGTGGCTGTGAATTCTATCCTCAAAGAAAAATTAATTATCTCCATCTTGGCGGCGGAGAAATTTTTCCAAGAGGAAACTACATAGCTAAACTTTCAAGAGAGGAGGAAAGTCTAGCTTTCTTCTTCCTTCCTTCCTCCTCGACAACCATCTGCATTACTGTAGAAAGGTTCCGATGAATAAGAATGCATATGCCCTCCTTTCTCAACATTTCTGAAGAAAAAAAAATCAGTCAAGAAAATTTAACGTTCTTCTTTCTAAAATAACAATTCTTTCAAGAACTTCAAAAATTTGGGCAATTTGGAACTTTTGTGCTACCAAAGTTTTATGTAAATTGAAACTTAATCGCAGCATTGATTCAGACGATTGTATTAGGAGAAAGTGGGATGAAAAAAAACAATTTGCGATTTTATCGTTAACTAAGCACAAATGGAAACCCTCTGGGTAGAAGACCAAAGGGATTTATTTAATAACAAGCAGTTTCTTGAACATAGAGCGTACTCACGTCAACCTTCGCATATCTCGCATATCTCGCAAATTGAGCATAGCAACATAACTTGCGAAGTTTTGCGAGATATGCGAGATTTCGCAAAAACTTTGCTGGAAAACCATGGGATTTTTGTTCGCAAATTTACCCAGCAATCGAGCATGTCCTTATTTCGCAAAATTATTTCGCAAAGTAATTCTGCAAGAGAAATTACAGAAATCCATGGAAACAATACCAAAATAGGTGTTTTTCAGTAGATTTGCGAGATAAGAGAGTTTTGCGAAGTCATATTTTGCTAATCCCCTCACGACAGAAATATTTTGATCTTCGCAAGTTTGCTAAATGAGTTGCGATGCGAAATAAGAAGTTGTCGTGAGTACGCCCATAGACACTGGAAATGAAGCAGCGATACAAATCTTGAACCAATTCCAAGCGCGTATCAAGTTTGTGAATTGATCCAATTTGATTATATTCTCCAGAAAAAAATAAATGTTGCATTAATGTTCTTCAACATTTACATACTAAACTGTCTTTCACCAGCACGATTTAAGTATGCTATCATTTAATTTGGTTTCATTAAGGACAAAGTGCGATAATAAAAGCAGCCGAAAGCCACAAAAAGTGTGAAATAATAAACTTCAATTTCGGAAGTGCACATTACGACAATTAAAAGTGAGGTGTAAAGTAGTGTGAATATACCAACATATTTTTCACTCGGAAAATTCTACCAAATTTTTTTTGATGGATCCCAAGGTTAAACCCTGTGGGCGCTGGGTTCCTTCCTTCACATAAGTGTAGACGTAGAGGCTTCTTGTTGGAAGTGGTTCTACTTTCACCAGTCTCGTCTGCACCACATCAACCCCTTTTTTGCACGTGTTCAGGTCCTAAGCGTAAAGGGAAGAGCTATTATTGTGCAACCTAAACTGGGGAATCGTAACACCTTTCTCCATTTCTCGCTGGGAAGGTCGACAGAAGAGGGAACAAGAGGCTGAAAGTACTTGTTTTCGCTGACGCCTTTCCTTACCACGCCTCGCTATTGTAGCTCAAGTCCTCATCCGCCAAAAAAATCTCTCAACAGCCCCACTTCTCACAGAGCAAAGACTGTGCAGTGTAAAGGCAAGTAAATCCAGAGCCTACCACACAACAGACTCAAAACAAAGGAAGGAACTGCTCCATTCAACTTTCACCATCACTCCTTGAGCACCAAGACGAGAAAACGAGAAGCAATGGCAGCGTCTTATGAAAATGAGCATTAATAACATTAAAAGATTTTAACTTCATTATTAGAGGAACACCAACTATGGCGCATACTACGTGAACACACGTCGTTGGTTGTATTCCTTTTTAACTTTCGCCTAAATGGTTGACGAATGTGCGGCAAGTATTTTGTTACCAGCAGAGCTTTCACTGCTGAACAAATCTTATTAGTTCTTCCTCATAATTGATCCCAAGGTAATCGGTTTCCACTTTGTTTACTTTATATTCCGTTGGCTGGCTTAGTTAGCTGAAGCACTTTAGGCTTTCATCACTTTCACCAACACACGATTGGATTTAACCGACTTACAGTTTATGCCACAATAATTCTCTATTCCTTTTTGTTTGGGGAAAGCGGATGCATCGCTTCACGACAGTTGCCGTCATAGATAAATTGTGTTGTTTATTTAAAATCATCGCGCCACCACTTGAGCTAATCTTCTACATCCGTTGCTTGTTCAAAATCGATTGCAAAATCGAGCCAATGTGACAATTGGCAACATAACAATAAAAACTGAGGTAGAATGAGAGGCTTGGTGATAGGGTTCGAGTAAGGAAATGAAAGATGGTCCTGCAATAATTCTCAAATGCTTCCCTCTCGTTGTGGAAAACAATGTAATGCACTTGTGCAGGTTGATTTGAAAGCCATCGTTTGTGATGACATAAAAGAATTTTATATCTTTCCATCCACAATTGCACCTGATTCATTTTCCCAGCCGAAATTCGGAGGCCAAAGTTAAGGTGTTTTGCAGACAGAGTCGAATTTACTTTGCGCTGTTAAAATAGGGTTCGTTAATCTCCGGCTGAAAATGAAAGTTGTGTTTAATTTTGTTATATCGCGATGTGCAGCATCAAGTAAGCTGCCACTTGTATTTTACATTTATACGTATTCATCAGAATGTAGGGTGAAAATTATTGGATTTCGAAAGAGAAATGAAAGTTGTTCCCTCTCTCGAATGTAGCATACATACATATTTACATACACATATAAAGTACATCCTTGATTTTAAATTGGGCTGGCTACACAACTGTATATCCAACCTAGAATTTTAACCCCGTGCTACAACGGGGATTTAGATTAAACCAGTGATGAATTGTGCAGAAAGAACTGGTAACGGACTGCGACAATAAAAATGTGTACTATTATATTGAGCAGATGCTTCTTGCATACAAATTCAAATAAAAATTCGTTACATTATTTTCGCAGTTTTATCCATGATTCGGTAGGGTATCAAAGTTCATGGTACGGTAGCTTGTACCAGGAATGAAGGAAAATGCAGACCCCACGTGAACAATTTAAAAATAATGTGATCGCAACCCACATCTAATTATTTGCCTGGGGAGAAATACTTTATCTTAAAATATGAGCATTACGCACTTATTGGTCTGTTGAGCACAATAATGCATAACGCAATTTGGGATTTTATTATTATTGGAACTTTTTCTAGCCCGCTTTCCGTACAACAGCCCCCAGTCCAGTTGTTTTGAAAAAGCGAACGTCAGCAAGAAAACTCAGGTGGTATTACATGCTACATATGTAAGTGCGTATGTACCTACTAACAAACCTCAGAGTATTTTAGACCTCGAGTCCCACTCTTTTCGCCCTTGACGCCAATGTAACAAGACCAACTTAAAAACAGACCCATAAAGTTCTTTGTTCAATTTTCTCTTTACGTTGTAAACCTGCTACTACTGCTTTCCCTTCATAGTCACGCGTTTGCTGAATGCGAATCTGTCTACCTTGATTAGCAACTATGTAAGCGGTGTGCTCTTTCAGTGCAAGGTGGCTTGTTTTGAATGTAAGAATATTATGTTTTTCACTGTGTATAATATGTCAGAGTTTAAGTCTTGATATATTGAGCAGCCGAAACTTTCGTCATTTTTGTCATTTTCAAAATAATAACAAAGAAATGAAGTGAATGCGCGAGCAGCTAATGTCTCGTGAATAAAAAAATGCAAATAAATTATTTGGCATGGTTGAGCTACTGCGGAGACTGCTGAAAAGGATTTAACGAGGAAGGGCTTGTGTAATTTAAAAATTTATATAGTTCCATGCATGCATTCTCCGTCGACTGAATTTTTTGGAATATATTTTCCTTTCTACGAACACCAAGGACAAAAATTGTTGAACAGAACAGGTGACGCAAACGAATACATTAAATCCTGCTGCTGCATACCTTCCAAATATTTTCTTCGTTTCATGTGTATAAAATTGACAACGATTTCAAATGTAATATTGAATTGCAAATCGAAAATGATGATGATTTTTGTTGTCAGTCTGTTGAGATTATTTGACAGAGTTTAATAGCGATGTAGATGAAATATTTATTATTGTCAAAATATAAAACTACCATCTGTGTATATACATCATAGTTGATTGCAATTAGGATGTATGCATTACAAGAGTTAAAATTGGCTTAGAACTTATATGTACAGATACAGACTTATACCAGAAATTAGGTCTAGTTTCTTTGAGTTCTATGTCAAGGATTCTCTGATATTCGAAGTTAAGTAAATTTGATTGTGCCAAGTATTCGTAGCTTTTTTTCTCACCACGAGCCAATCAGAATATATCTTGACGTATTAATGGCGTTCTTTAAAGTCAAATGTGTTGTTCAAGTTTACATGAGATAATGCCACTATGTCATCATTGACACTTGGCACATACATGCATACGTACATATGTACGCAAGCAGTATGAGAACACACATATGCACATTGTACGTACTTACATATGCATGTAAATACTCCGTACATATTCCCACGACCTGTCAGCATCACATCAAAATGATTTGAATCTGTGACCCTGCTGTAATTAGACCTGCAACGGGATTTAATTATAAAGAAATTAATGGAAAATTGTAAGTATTAGTTCCGGAAGCTTCGCGAGTTGAATTCTTGTTGATTGCATCACAACAGCGCTTTTCAATCCGTGGGAGGCAGTAGCTTTTGGCCATGATGTACTATAGACGTGATTGACGGACAGCTTTTACCAAGTTTCGCACTGGATCCGACAAAGCCCATTAACATCAAATTGGACCCCGTTGTGAAAATTCTTGTGCCTAAATCAGCAATTTAACAAGACTGTTGGACATGGTTTGGCCTTATTGGATTATAGACGCAGACTGGCAATTGACAAGTCCTTTCCGAAATGCAGTCAGGGTTCAATAAAATAATGCGCAGTGCTACAGTTAAATCTGTTTATTCGCTGTTTGCTGGCTCAATATCAGGTACGTTTCGATTTTTTTAACTCGCAGCAACAGCAAGTGGAAATCACAAGTTAACATTCAGTCAGAATCGATGGCTGCACTAGGATTCGGTCCAAAAGTAAAGAAACATTTGAAAAAGTATATTTATTTGTATGAAAGAAAAATTGTCACTGAGTTGGAACGCGGTAGTTTTGTAGTCCATGCGATTGACTATCCAAATCAGAAAACCGGAAGTCGATATCTCGATTAGTTCAAAAATGAGGACAAAAAATTCAGAGGAACTCGCAAAAAAATTTTGCCACTACTACGAAAAAGTGTGCGAGCGCGTTCGGATAATGGTTAATAGCCACTTCGAAAAAGAAAAAATTCATAATGAGGCAATTTGCAGAGTTTTAGATATGTATGAGGGGAGGAGGAATGCTGAATTCAAAAAATTAAAAAATCGTCCTGCTCGTGTAGCGACCCCCAAAGTGATACGTAGAGTTCAGAAGGAAAACAAAAATAACCTTGGGATATCAGATGGTAATTTGGGCTACAAACTGAAAATATCAAAATTAAGTTTACATGACATTAAACCTACGAAGTTGGGGGTCAAATCCTATAGGGCAACACCTGCACCAAAGTACAACCAAGGTCAGCAAAAAAGAGCACAGCCCAACTCTCGGCAGATTGTTGAAAAACGAGTCAAGCAAAACATGCCCGTGATTCTGGTCATGAATGATTGGACCAATTGCTCGAATGATCCAGATGAAGTCCCTGGGAGGAAGTACTACTCATGTACTAATAAGAAAACGTTTAAAGTTTCCTTCAAATACACGCCGAAGTCAAAATTCCCCATAAAGCACATAATCGGGTAAGCATTGGAATCATTGGGGGACGTCTCAAAGCCGTTCGTGACCACAGCCACCATGACCTCGGAGAGATATCTGAACGATTGTGTAAAGAAGATCTTGATCCCCTTTATCAATAATCGTAATGTACTTTTCTGACCGGACACAGCAACATGTCATTCTTCAAACGTTGTTCTGGACTTGTTGCGGTCGAAAAAAATCGATTTTGTTGCAAAAAAGGATTATGCTCCCTACGTCCCTCAGGCAAGACCAATTGAAAGATTTTGGGCATTATGCAAGAGAGAATATAGTCGTCGAACAAAACCACCCAAAAAGTTGGGAAGATTCCGTCACATTTGGACATACACCTCAAAAGTGGTAGCGAGAAAGAGTGGCAAAGCGCTTTTGGGGAACGCGAGGCAAATAATTCGCCAGATAGGAAGGATGGGGGTCTATGGACCATATGAAGCAAAAAATTGAACGATAAGGACCTTGTTCTTAACCCTTAAAAGTGTCATTGGAATTAATTAAGTTTTCCGGATTTTACAAGCATTTTTCAAATGTTTCTTTACTTTTGGACCGAACCCTATGTGCTGCTTGCTCCAGTGCCAGGACAAACTGACGTTTTACACTTCATTCACATTTGCTTTTTTACTTTGCCGAATGTAAATTCTCGTTCGTATCTAATAAAATTGAATTTGATCTTGTTCTCTTAGTTCCAACAACCAGTTCCCATTGTACTTTTAACTTTCGTCTTTCTTCCTACATATGTACATACTACAGTTAGTCGATAATAATCTATTCGTAAATTACGCAAACACAATAATCAGAATATTAAGTAACGCATTTATGATTTTAATTATTACAGTTTTGTTTTCGCATGGATGGCGGAGGAAATTAATTATTTAATTCCAACGATTCAAGCAGGAAGCATAAGAGATCAGGTACTTTTTCGCGCATTTTAACAATTCATAGCTTTCCTATTTTTTAGCTCCACGTTTGTGTATCTAGACCACTGATTTTTTGTTGGTTTGCAACATGCAACTCCTATGTACTTCTTTATTATTCTACGATATCTGAATAGCTAAGAGTGCCATAAACCCACTAGCAGCAGTGTGTAGGGCTTAGAATGTGGAGTTGCACTGACATGCCATGCATGTTGTAGTTACGTTGCAAATAAGTGGAGAGGAAAAAGAAAAGCTGGGAGATTCTGAGGAGACCGTGTTAACACAGCCCCGAACTTTGGAACCCACACCATTCCACTTTCTGCCTCGATCCGAGTGTCTCAACTTTCCCACGGCTCTCTTTGTCTGTCACACCGAAATTGCAACTGCTTGTTCCGTGTCGTACCATTTGCATACACATACTCAAAAACAGTGATCGGAAAAGTTCTCTGAAATCCGAAAAAAGGTTTTGGTCACCATCCAGCACATTCTGACTGAGGATTTTGATTCTCCTTTTGGAACGGCTGAATACATCCAACAATAACGCTCATTAGATCAGCAGAGACTGGAAGTGGACTGGAAAGACTTTCTCTCCTTCGTTTGGGAGAAGGAAAAAGAATGCTGAGGCAGAAAAAATCAATCTGATTGAATACTCAAATCGTCAACACGTGAATTCAGTTCAACTGGTCCCTTCGTTATAATAAATACATTTTGTAGTCAGTAACACCTGCACTCAAGTTTCCTCGCAACTTTGAACTTTTTGAATTACAAATTGAGGGGTGTGTGGACTGGTGTGTCGTAGCGTGGGTGAGCGGTTGAGTAATGCCAACAGGGTGAACTTTCTCAACTTAAATTGTCAATTGGGTGTTACTGACCGTCCAACAAAACCACACCACTTTCAGACGGGTCACAAAACATGTCACGGTGGGGGCTTGTGCAGAAAAAGGAAGAGTAAAGTGATGAGGGTACGAATTCGTTGACAAGTGTTGGTGCAGAACTTAGCTGCTGACTTGACGAAACATTGTGGTTGTTTTTGCAAACTTGTTCAACATTATACCAGACAGGAAATAAGGGGAGCAATCTAGTCGCCGTTTCTAAATTCAGTTTGGATGAAGAGGTACAGAAGCCACAAAACCACTCATGAAGGAATTCATGAAGTGATTTGAGCCAAAACGCAAAACTAAAGCTCGTAAGTTCGAATCCGTCATCACCTTGTTGTTGTCATATTCGTAGTCATTAGTCCATCCTCTCGTGTCGTACTGTTGGTTTAGTAACTGACACCGACCAACGCACGGTGACAAGACAAGCATCTTGTTTGTTTTTAGAACTGGATGAGATGCTCATGTTTTCTCGTTCGGTTGCTCGTACCCCATATATTGATTTAGCGCATGTATACATATATCATAACCGTGTAGAAATATTATTTTAGCTTACATCGGTCCGGTACATAAGCTCATATGGCTTATATGTAGCATCAAGGTGAATCAGTGTCACTTTTTCGTTGGATGAACCTTAAATACAGATAAGTGCACTATGTGGAAAATGACTTCATAAGCTCGTGTCCTTAGCGTAGAATCAAGTCTACAACTTCCATAGCCTTTGCCCTCATGTCTTTGATGACGAAATTTATTAGGTTTGTTTATTTGAAAGAAGTTGGTCTCACTTCCGCCCACTGTTTAAATATGCATTTCGGATTACAAAGAAAGAATTTATACGTCTGAATGATATATTTACTCAACTTTGGGATAAGCTGATAGAGTGTGTGTTGTGTTTCTAAATTGGTTAGCTGAACCTTTGCCAAAAAATATTGCCACTTCACTTTCTTCAGTTGAATCGTGAATGGCAATGTGGGATACAGTGGAATCAATTTATTTACAGATTTGTCGCTCACCTCCTTTGCACACTGACTATCCATAGACTAGCAATATCCGCTACCTAGTAAATAAACACTAACATACTTTATGTATGGACACTGAGGTTGGTGGTCTTACACACATTAAGCATGTGTGTATATATTACAAATCGTACAGAAAAGTTGTGAATATTTTTACAAACATTTAATTCATCTCGTTTCAATTTAGCAAATGTCACACAATTATAGATTACCCATATAAAAATGTCTCCAAAGTGTATTCTTGATACAATCAGTCTTCTTTCTTGACGACTAATGAAGAAATGAATGCTTTATAGTTTTGTCAGGCGTTGAAGCTCTCAAGAAATGCAGCAATTTAAATAAATGTCCTCTCTCATAAACCTGGGACATTGTCAAGCATTTATTACTTTAGGCTAAAGTTGGCTATGCATCTATTTGACCAACTGCAAGAACTGTGAAATGGCGTTAATTATTTTAAGCATTCCAATTAAATGACATAAATTCATATTCTGGGGTATTTTGTCAAATTGATGTTTGGATGCATTTACTATATAATCAATACTATGCCAAGTCGTCCAAGTTGCACCGTTTTAGCTTGGTCGTGTTAAGTAGGCATTTAGCATTTAGGTTTATGACCCCTTCATGTCAAGTCGCTTATAATAAATATAATTACTATTTTGTCAAGTCGTATATTCAAGATCAAATGGGTACAGGTCTCTGAAGTTCTCAGCTGGCTACCACTGATACTTAATTAATTATTAAAGTTCAGAAGGTAAGCTAATGGCGACATTTGCGATCAGGATCACAGGTTAACCACCACGACTGATAGAAACTGATAACTTTTTCGGGCCCTTTAAGTAATTATTTCCAAACAGTGTCCAAATTCCATTATTTTTACATCCGATATTTTAAAGTCAGAGAAAAGTTATTATTTGCTGATGGAATATGTGGAAAAGTCAAATCGTGCTAATTTTTTTAGCAATTTCATAAAATTTGTGTAAATTTGCAACGCTGCAATCTTTATTCGCACGAGACTGAGAGACGTCGCAACATTTCTAAATTGAGATAAATACTCCAGTTGATGCGTCTCTCAGATGTTGCCTTAAGTAAACCCTTATCGACTAATTTCAACTTTCTCTAATTTCGGAACTGCATTGTTCAAATATTCATTAAACTCCTTTAGCAAATAGTCTTCCTTGATGGCAAAGTAAAGTTTCAATGTGTTTCTTCTTGTTAAGAAGAGCTTGAAGACCGACCGACTGGTGGTCGTCAAGTGACGTGAAGCAGTAAGATCAAGGTTTTAGAGTCCACCGAGATTTACTATCAGACTCGGATTACTGGCATCTTCTTAGATGCTGACTCACAATTCAACATTGTCCTACAACAGAACGGTGAGACGGTCACTTGATCCCATTTTCGGACTGTGCCCCAAGGCAGGGCTTTCCTTATTTTAGTATGGCGCATGGATTTGCGCAATTGGATTTCTCATTCGGTCCTCCGTACGTACGAGCTAAGAGGGTATGCCTAATTTTGTTTGATGTAATTATAATAGTGTCAAAGGAATATAGCTGCGATCGAGGAGGAGAGAAATATGGCTAAGTGAGCACTAATGAGCATTGTATAACTTTGACAAACTGCTCAACGGAGTAGTGAGCAGTCAAGTGAAATACTACGTACAGGATCCGCTACTAACACGTGAACGTGTTCACTCTTGAATTGCTCCGAAACGGGTTTGAGTTTCGGTTCCAAATTTTGAGCATAACGACATGTGATTGTTGATAAGGGCTGAGCAAAAAAGTAGCTCTCTAGATTCAAAAATGACCCTACCATTGACCTTAGAGTAAGAGGGTACCATAAAAACACTTTCCAAACTTAATTTTTCGTACACAGACATAATTAACTACTTCAAAATTCAAGGACAACAAGTTTCGAAAACAGGGATACATAAGGTACTGATAAATGAAGGTCAACAACGACAAGCTCGTACCAAAGGACAACCATCATGCCTCAAACCCGAGTCCGAAAAGTGCTAATTCGGCCCGTGCTTAAGAAAATTGACCTATTGACCTCTAAGGGCAACTCACCACCCCAGAGAGCAGTGGCACGTCTAACCAAAGTGTCATAGATTAGGGTGCGACGAGCAATTAAAATTTTGCAGAAGCAAAAAAGAAGAAAAATCCGAATCCATCAGCTGACTGAGAAGCATAAACAAAATCGTCGTCTGACCTGCAAAAAGTTTTATATAAATTACCTAACAAAAGATAAAAGTGACTTTTTAGTGTCGTTGGATGAAGAATTATTTTCTTTAAAGATACCAACGGTCATAGAAAAATTTACTATACAACCAAAGAAGAAAATAATTCCAGAAGATTGACCATCCCGCACACGGAAAACTTTTGCAACAAGTTCATGGTGGTTGGTGCATTATCTGGTCGTGGTGTCCTCCCACTTATCAAAATTCCACAAAAAGTGAAGGTAACTACGAAGTACTTCATTGACTTTGTTTTAAAACCGCTTTTGGAGATTCATGTCCCAAAACCATATGGCAAGGACACAAAAAAAGTGATAGTTCATCACGACGCAGCGTCATCACACACCGCCCTTTTGACCCAGGATTACGCCAAGGACCTGAAAGCTAGACTCGGGATAACAATCATCCAAAATAGTGAAATGCCTGTTAAGTCACTCTATGTAAGTCCTATGGATTTATTCGGCTTTGGATATCTGAAACAAAATCTTTTCTCCGCCACCCAAAAACATTTGACGGAGTTTGGAAAGTTATGGGAGACGAGTGGTCTAAAGTTGACTTCGCCATGGTCAAATCAGTGTACAGAAGTTGAAATCGCCGATGCCGATTTGTAGCTCGAGAAAAGGGCTTTCACATAAAAAATGTTCGGGACCTAAACTCCAAGCCGTTCAACCAGTAATTGAAGGTCAAAAACGTTCACGTGTTAGTGGCGGAGCCTCCGTATGAGAAGCTTTTACTACAGTATTCCCATTATATTTAAATGCAACAATTATATTTGCACGGCTATTACACTCACAATCTATTTATTGCTTCAATAAAAGCAGATTTATTGAGAGTCTGTAGATATTTGATTAAAGATAAGCCAAATACTTTGAAATACTTGGAACTTGTGGAATCCAGTCAAAATAGACATTTCTAAACTTCTTTGCCTCATTTATTGCTAACTTTAGATTTAAGGGTTGCAATTCGAATTGAAATTCCGAATCTCAGGTCCGTCCGTCTTTCTCAAAAATAACAAACTTTTACAACAACCTGGAAAAGTGGAGTCAAGTCAAGTAGTTCAAAGTTGGGTGAGAGTTGAGACGGGTGAAGGGAATCAATTTTGTAACATGCACTGATCCGTAAATAAGGGGTGCGACTTTGTTCAATCAAAAAGTTTGGCTGGTTTGTTCATGCTCCTTTCACCTAAGGACCGTTTTATACTTTAAAAGTTAGTTGTTGGACAAAACACGACCTCATGGGATTTCAGACGCACACACAATATTAGCCAACATGACACTTTTTAACGAAGTATGAAAGAACCACTTTTTGTGAGTAGTTGACGTGAGCAAGACTGGGTCGTCAAGTCATTGTTCAATAAAATGAAAATACTGTTTGCTTTCATGAAGCCAAGGGGAAACTCGAGGACTTGAGTTTCATGGTGATATTGCAGAGAAGATTTATTTACTCAGCCCCGTTCTTCCTTTCCACTCGGCGACGATGATGCTTGTTGGTATTTATAGTGATGCAAATTCAGTGTCAAATGTTGATATAAATTTAATCGATAGCTGATAACCCATCTGCAAAATATCGAGATTTTCTTCAAAGATTGATTTCACATTATGCTTGTGACATCAAAATGTGCAGACGCATCATTCATATTATGTTAAGACAGAGTAAAGCATACCGACTTGTAGACATCCATCAAAATCACATCCAGAAATTGGTATTGATGATACTGCACGAATATTTCTTTTGTTCAGGAGATGAGAATAGTCACTGCTGACAATAGTGTGTGATTCATCATGCATCGATGTCACGGGTTCAAGTTGAAATTGCTGACACACATGATTCTTAAAATAGCGTGGGTTGGTTAAGAAAACAAGTGCGGGATTCATTTTGGGTTACAGAATTATTTTCCAGTTTCCTGAGTTGGAGCTAGTGGATCATCGTATTGTAAATAAATAAGTAATCTCGCCCATTACCTATCATAAGTGCTTATGTGTAGGGCAGTGCATGGGTGGATATGATGTGAGGTTAACATCTTGGATACACGCACTTGAATATTTCATTGTTGTGCGATACAAAA